TCACAAAACATAATTATTCGTAATAACGCCAACACTACTCTGTATATTGCACTCGCTTTATCCAAGAAAGTGCTCTCCCGAGTATAACTTACATACCGCCGAATCGCAGCAGACCCGACTAATTCCGAATGGATAATCTGTGCCGGTTGTCAATCGAATTGCGTAACGTTGTCCGAGACCTATCGTCTTGCTTCATTGCACTACCTGTCATGGGAAGATAATGCAGTGGATTCTGTTTAAATCCAAAGTGGCCATTTTCTACAACTTTGATTACTTATTTCGTATATATTCGCCATTGCATAATATATCTATAATGCCGTATATCCTCAAGACATTACCTGGATAACATCTACACTCGGATTTTAACATGGATATTACCATTGTTTACGTATACGCGAAGTAAAATTTTACCATCATAGAAATAAATAAACCTAGAGCAGTTCTAACATATCTTTAGACAAACCTGTTACGTTTTTGTCTTCATTTTGTAAATTTCTTAAAATATTCTTTATACTAAAAATCAAACAAATGATATTATGAACATATCTAGAGATGCTCGAGTAATTTTTATTATTTTTTAATATTGCAGGACACTATATAAAAAATAAGAAAGAAATTGGGGCTCTAGGTTCCCGTTTGATCCTTTGATTATTTTTTTTTCCATCTCCAAATTTCATAAGCCAGCGACGCGTGTCTAGGGTTCTCACTCTCTATCGGGCTATGCCGACATCATCAAAGTTAAGAGATGTTAACGAGCGAATAGATGGACGGTCGACCGTCTGTAAACTATGTCGTGTTGTCGTTCCATGGGCAAAAATGTAAAATATATTGACACACACTGCTCATTCTCGCTGGTTTGAGGCAGGATGAGACCGGACATCTCGAGAGTAATTGTCGATTTAGACACTCGCTAAGTCGATAGGCTATTGACTATTATCCGACTTGGTAGGTCATTGACAATGGTTAATGGCCCACATATCACTATATGGCCGAGAACCGCGATTCGGATTCCGCGTAAAGAAGGTAGACCCCGTCCAGATTAGCCTTAACAAGAAAGAGGAGACGTTAACTTACAATACCTTACTTTATTTTACTTTTAGTTCATTGTTATTTTTGGTTTTTGTTGGTGATTTTGAGAATGATAAAATATTCAGTCTTTTTCCATTTTTTTTTTCATTCCTAATGTTTTACGAGAACCCAATGATTTATTTCGTTACTCTATGTTTACTTATTTCTCTGGAGCTTTACTGCTAATGGATTTGTGTCGGCGACGACTTTAACTCTATCGTCAAATGTTTTCAGATATTTCTATTTTCTCGGAACTCTGCATCAAGATCCAGTATTGTACATGAACTCAACATTTATGTTTACAGTTATATCAAATGGGTGATCAACAACTTAATGGCTAGCATCTTGGTATTGAATATGATTCTTTCCTATTTACTGGTAAGACTAATTTTAATAATCACACATAAAGGACGACCTGCTTGTTAAGTAAAAGTTATGATTTTGCTTTAGATGATATTACAGCTGTAGGTTGGAACCTTGGGCGTTAAAACTGAAAAATTGACATTAATTCACCATAGTACACCAAAACACTTTACTCTTAACACTGGACTCGCCTTTCGCTATCCATCTTAGCACAGTGGCGGCTCGTCAGGTGCAGTAGGTGAAGGGGCACTTCAATGAAAAAAATACTCAAATTAAAGAAAAAACTTTACTATTTACATGTATCTAAATAATAAAATGGTAATTTTTTATATTTTTTTTTCCGGGAGGACCTCTGCATAATAGGTCTACCGCATCGTTAATTCCGGCCGAGAATGTTGCATTTTTGGCCCGTACGCGCCTACGTTTCCACGAAGCCACAAGCCACAAGTGAAGTGAAAATATTTCTGAGCCGAGTGGCTGCACGGTTTCCATGTTAACGTGACGTCATGCGTCAGTCGAGCGGCAGCATATAAATTCCCTGCCCCGAAATTTTTTATTGGCGACCGATGTGAATGAATTTTTGAGGCAGTTCGCTTCGTCTTCCTTTATGCAAATATTCGGCTACTTCGGCGAGTAATTAACCGTGTAAAGACTGTAAAGTTGTTGTTGATTATTTAATGTTGTTTGTTAATGGGTTTTGTTGATTTAACTTGTTAATTTTTGTTGTTTGTTTTGTTGTTGTGTTTTAAAACTGTTTTGTGTGTGTGTATGTGTTAAAAAATGAATCCAATCAATGACTTGGTGTGCAATTTATTGGAAACTCCCTTCAGACGGTGGATAGATGGAGATAAGAGGGATGTTTTATCTCAAGGACGACCAACTGAATATTTAACCATAAATTGCAAAAAAAGAAATAAGAAAAAATGGTAAATCTTATAATATTAAATTTAAGTCCTCCTGGTTTTTTGATTTTAATTGACTATGTAGTTAATATTGCTTAGTAAACATTAATGTAATAATAATTAATGAAATAATTGAATAATAATTGAATGGCTCCTCGGTTGTAACCAACAATTTTTTCAATATCGAAATTTCAGTGAAAAAACCGAGGAAAAAACGTTATACCTATGAAAATTACAACCTTATTTCACTGAATTCTCTATTTTGAAAAAAAAATGTCGGTTACTACGTTTTTCCGGGAAGCCCTTCAATAATTACTGTGTTCACCATAAAGTTGGATCCATATGGACGGTTTTTTTTGGTATTAGAGTTTAAAAAAAAACTTTTTGTGGCAATCAATTCTGCTTTAAAAACAACTTAAAATGCACCAAGTCAAAGGTGAAACATAATTTTGTTAGTCACCTTTTTTAAAATAATAATAATTTAAACAATTTTTAAAAAAAATTTTTAGATATTTTGTATTTGACAGCTCCCACATGTTAGCTGTCAACTTTGACTTGGTGCATTTTAAGTTGTTTTCAAAGCAGAAGTGATTGCCACAAAAAGATTTTTTAAAACTCTAATATAAAAAAAACGTCCATATGGATCCAACTTTACGGGGGACACTGTATATAATGTTTATTATATTTAATTTAAATTTAATTATATTTTCACTGAAATGCAAAATAATGTGTTTATGGAAAACTGGTTGTATCTTGTATCTCTGTTTACTTAATGTGTTTTAGCCCAAACTAAAACGAAAATATTATAGGTATTAGTGTATAAATAATAACAAAAAAAAATGTTGACAAAGTAGTGAATGCATCAAAAAATTTTCAAATAATATTTAAAAAAATGTTGACAAACTGGTGAATGCGCCAAAAATTAAAATTTAAAAAACTAATTCACCTAATTTTATACCCACGAGCCGCCACTGTGTTAGCATCAGATGATTAAAACATTAAAACTGACTAGACTGCAGTGTTAAAAAAGGGCGTAGCCAGGATTTTTTTTCCAAAGTGGGGCAGAACTTTCTTTAGGGTGGGGCAAAACTATAGAAAGTACTTATTAAAAAATGGTTTTATTTGGACACTTCAAAATACAGTTGCAGTATAAGAAATATTGCAGAATATGTTTTGGCAGTATGTAGTTTAGTGTTGGCTCAATCCAATATACAGGTTGTTAATTTGTTTATTACTCGCGACAAGAGCTTTATGGTTGAAATATGGCAACCTCGGCTCACTCGTCGATAGACGACGCGACGCGACGCGACGAGACGGGACGAATCGGCAGAAAACCCTGTAAGTGCATGCGTTCTCAATAGGCAGTGTTGCCATTCTGTTCCCCTATAAATAACTGTCCAGTTAACAACCAGTTAGACTGTTCGGCCATCGTTCAACGTCACGTCATATATTGTCGAACTCTCTCTTTCACTTGACAACCAGATGAAAGAGATTGGTGACGTTATTACGGCATTTTGTAAATTACTGCACATTGTTTTTAGTAATTATCATTGTCATTTGATTTGGGGTTATAATTTTATTGACGAATCAATGTCAAAATTTCTTTTTAGTAACTGATTTGTGGTTATAAATTTATTGACGGACATCAATCAATGTCAAAATTAAAGTTTGATTGGGCTCATATTGGGCTGCCAGACAATTTTTAATTTTTACTTTATGGTTTTTAATCTGAATTGTTTTTATTACTAAAATGAGTTGCCGATTTAGCGAGAATAAACAACTTCTCATCGCAAAGTTCATTACTTATTTTACACGAGAAAAGAGACACTGGTAAAACACTTTTGTACCCTACTAAGGCAAAATGATGCATTCGCAAAAAAGTCAATTTTGAGTTAGTGCTACTTCCGAACATAAGATTTGAAGCTCTATTAATAGCTCCAATAGCCAAAGTTCTATCTTTTACCGTTTCAAAGTTACGTCTGTAGCAAAACGGTGTATTGACACATCTTTGACAACATTACAATGGCAAAAAAATGTAATTAACGATTTTTGCATAATTTTCCCAAAAATTGGATTTCTTATGCAGTTTAATAGGTACGAGTATATTAAATTATTTTAGGCATCTTGAACTTATTATAGAGTAAAATGTATCTTATTGTATACAATCAGAAGAAGGTACTTAAAATTTTCTAAACAATATTAACTGATCTCAGACACACCCTACAACGTATATTTGACAAATTATGATGACGTAACGTTGGACGATGGCTGAACAGACTGTACATTCTTTTTTATTGAGGTTTGCGGCAACTGCTCCACCCTGCCCCGCCGTAGCTACGTCCATGGTGTTAATTATATGCTGATGATGCTAACATGGTTAGAGAAACGCGCCAGTTAGGCAGTGTTAAAAGTAAAGTGTTTTGGTGTATTGCGCTGTTTTTGGTTTATTTAGCTGTAGATGATGTTCCATCCAGACGTCTAAAGAAAAGTTTTGCATGGGATTTTGAGTCATTGCATTAAACCAAAACTATATTGACATTTATTTTCCTAAAATAAGGTTTTTACTGGAGTTTTGTAGCAAAAACTATACTACACGTTTTATATTTCTATAAGTACTCAGTTTCTATGGAAACTAACGTAGCTGTCAATTTAAGCTGACAGAACAGCATGAGAACAACACTATGCCTGCAATATTTCAATTATTTTATCTTTACAATAAAATTCTCAAAAAACTGAGTAATTTGAATAATAATATTCATGTAAGTATTTTTTAATAATTATATACCTACTGGCCTCAAACTAAAATAATAGTTATTAAAACTAAATATCATGAGAATATGTAACTAACAACTAAATTCAAATAAAACATACAGCGAGATATTTAAATTCTATTAATGCCACAGTTTTATGGTGTTTTGTTGTTAACAATATTTTACAATGTTACTGTAACTTGAAAGAAGTTTTAATAATTTTTTTGTTTTTATAACCTGTGGAGTGATCCGAGATAATTACAATCACTTGTGAACATGGATTCTAGAAGAGAAGATACGAAACATCACAAGTGTGAGTTGCAAGATGGACGTGATGACATAGTAACATCTTTCATTGATGCTGGAATTTTCATTAACATAAGAAGAAGACTTAAAAGGTAAAATAACAGAGTGTATCGCACTGTTTAGTAAAAAACAACTAGATATCAGATTTTGAGTCTATAAGTGCTGTTTCACATGGAATCGCGCGGACCATCGTGTATTTTTTAAGGTCCGACGGAGTACTTTTATTTGTACTGCCCATCTGCGCATATAAAACAATGTATTTAATCATAGAGAATGTATGCGCGCGGATGGCCGTCGACTAAAGTCATCCGGACGGATGAAACGCGCCCATGTGAAAATAGTCATATAAACTCATGGTACTTGTTCAACCAACGGACGGGACGGTCCGTATGGATTTATCCGGTCCGTGTGAAACAACACAACAGGGACGAACAGCGCGGACGGTCCATGTGAACAGCATTTAGATTTTAACCAGGCCCTGTGCACTCTCCGCGAAACGTCAAACCGCGAAATTAGTGTCGCCTGGCGGGAGAAAGCGACAGCCAATAAGAATTTTTCTGTTTTATGATTGGTACCTGCTCAAAAGAGGGGCGACCGGCTGAATTTTAAAATTCTTCAATCTATCCCCGTCGTCATTTGGGTTTGTTCGTGGTTCGATCTAAATTTTTGTAATTGTTACGAAGTGTTATTGTGTTGACTTTTTAAAAATGGTGTAATATTGCTGTGTGCTGGGCTGTAAATCCTCTACTAAATCGTCGATTTTGCATAGTATGCCAATGGATAAAGAAGTAAGTGAACTTATGTTTTTGACCCGTTTAAAAATTCGTATATGTAGTTTTTTTAGGGTTATGCAAGTCCAGGAGTTAACAGATCCTCTAAAAAAAACTTGCATTTGAAGTATTTTAAAAAAATAAAGTAAAACATAAAGCCTTAAATAAAATTAAACAAGTCCCTTTATAAACTTTAATTTTTTTATTGCTTTTGTTGATAAATATTGTTTATATTATAATGTAAAATGTCTGTATAATGTGTATGTCTATAACGTAAGGTACTAATCTATATAACGAATTATTTTTTATTCAAATTGAATGGATAATATTATAGAATTATTTGATGATTGTTAATAAAATTTTTGTGTTTCATACTGGTTTTTGTATTATTGTTCCGTATCTTATTAGAAATATTATATACATATTGCTTTTTTTCTAAACGTGAAAGAATTAATATTGTTTTTTTTAGTTTTCTGTAAAATAAAAGTTATATTTTTAAAACGGTATTAATTCTTTCACGTTTGGTAAAAAAGCAATAATGCAATTCAATTTAAAATTCCCAGCACCTGGCGGGAAAAATGAAGATTTAGTACGTCTTCAACTCACCGAGCGCTGTAAAACGCGTTCTCGATAAACGACGAGAGTTGCCAAGCTAAATGTTTGTGGTCTGTGATTTTAACTTACTTTTTTACTATATTGGCAAGCAGCATCTTTAATTCTTTAATATACAGGAAGAATAAATATGCCTAACTAAACCAACAAAAACACATATTTAAAATGTATAAAAAATGTTTAAATAGAACCGATATTTTAGATTTTTTTACCGAGAATAGTTTATTTCTGTTGAATATTTGGGTCAAATAGAGTAAATCAGAACACTTTTGATAAACCAGACAAAAATATACTTGATATAAACTTAAACTACGCGGTACAAAAGAATGAAAACGGAATCAAAGAGAGCTTATAAGACAATTCAATAAATCTGCTGAAGGCAGTTGTCGGGGTCATTATGAACTTTTATTCTGTGCTCAATATAATACTTTCTAAATGTAAAACTTCATTCACATTCACACTTAAAATTTTGGATTTTTGTTTAGATGATTCCTGTGTCGCTATTGCTCTCCATACTCCCGATTCTCCACGGAGTTCCATGGTTTGACTAAATTATATACAGGGTGGCGCACCTCATTCGCCTCGGTTGATTATACGGAAACGGAAAGATGTAGAAACAAAATATTTTATGGGTATATGTGGGGAGACAATGTGCATAATTTAAAATTATTTTGAAATATACAGGGTGTTTCAGAACTAAGATCCATACCCAAGTTATATTTTTTCTTATGGAACACCTGGTATTTTATTTTATTTTTGGATTCTTGGGCCCAAAAAAAGGCATTTATTATAAGGGTTAAATATGTTTAAAATCTTTAGTTTTTGAGATATTTAAAGATATTTAAATTTGCATGCTGCAATAGAATAGACTATTAACACCCTGTACATTGCTGTTCAGAATTAATTCTTATGCTGAGTTTAAAGGTAGAGAAATAGACTTTACCGAAAAATGGTATTGGTTCCTTAAATTTACACAGGGCTATCAAAAGTTGCTGATCTATTTTAAGGATATATTTAATATAAAATCTTCGTTATTTCAAATGCAACACCCTGTATTTTTTTAAATAAGTTGAAGCAGATTCAAATGCTCTTTAAAACTATATTAGGGTTTCCTATACCTATCTAGCTCAGATTTTGAATAAAAAGCGATTTTTAAATAAAATTGCAATCAAGATGGCTGGTGTCGCCATGGCAGTTTTCTAGTGACAGTTAATAACTATTTTCAAAGTCGACATTAGTTTATGGACATTATTATTTATAATTTATAACAGTTAACTTAAATTTACCTACAATAGTTTAATAAGTAAGTATTCATTATTTTATCAAGAAAAATTAATCAGTATCTGCTGGGGCGGAACGAATAGATATGTTACTAGTGATATTATTTTGTGATTAAAATTGCTTCTTGGCCTCAAGGGCTTATGCTCAAAGATATCCAAATAGGAATCTTCCTGATAAGCGTTTCTTTGAAAAACTTGTCCTATTTCGCAGAGCTGTTAGTGTGGTTTATAAAAAAAACTATTAGGCAGAAATCTGTCATTGGAAGTGAATAAAATGAATTTGCCGTAATTGGCTATTTTATAGAAAATCCATATATCTACAAGTCATCGTAAAATAATTCAAAGAACTACTTCTTCGTTTTTCTTGATAGAATAATATACACACATTTAATAAATATTATTTATTAAACTATTGTAGGCAAATTAAATAAAAGTAAACTGGTATAAATTTAAATAAGTCCATAAACTAATTTCCATTTTGAAAATAGCTACTAACTGTCACTAGAAACTTGCCATGACAACACTAGCCATCTTGATTACAATTTTATTGAAAAATCGCTTTTTATTCAAAATCTGAGCCATATAGGTATAGGAAACCCTAATATAGTTTGAAAAAGCATTTAAATTTGCTTTGACTTTAAAAAAAAATACATAGTGTTGCATTTGAAATAACGAAGTTTTTTGTAAAATAAATATTAAAACAGACCAGCAATTTTTGATACCCCTGTATACATTTAAGGAAGGAATAATATTTTTCTGTAAAGTTTATTTCTCTACTTTTAAACTCAGCACAAAAACTAATTCTGAAAAGTAATGTACAGGGTGTTAATAATCTATTCTATTTAGCATGCAAATTTAAATGTCTTTAAATATCTCAAAACCCAAATGTTTTAAACATGTTGAAACCCTTATAATAAATACCTTTTTTTGGTCACAAGAATCCAAAAATGAAATAAAATACCGGGTGTTCCATAAGAAAATGTATAACTTTGGTACGGATCTTAGTTCTGAAACACCCTGTACATTTCAAAATAATTTTAAATTGTTCACATTACCTCCCCACATATATCCATAAAATATTTTGTTTCTACATCTTTCCGTTTTCGTATAATCAACCGAGGCGAATGAGGTGCGCCACCCTTTATATAAACGGGATTTGGTTTAAGTATTTAATACTCATTTCCAACTACAGCCTATTGCTGCCTTCCCGTTACCCTACGCCACACATCTCGATTTAGAGCGTCATCAGCTTCTAGGTTACGAGCTTCCATTGCTTCCATAACCGTTCCGTTCCAGGATTTTCTAGGTCTACCTCTCTTTCTTCTGCCCTGGGGAGCCCATTGAAAAACTCTTTTTGGCCACCTGTTCTCCGGCATACGCAGAACATGTCCAAACCATTTTAAGCTGGATTTTTCGATTCGATCTAGTACTGATGCATTCCGATGCATTCATGTTACGTAAATACTGTAAATCTACATTCCACAACTAACCAGTTAAAAATAAAAAGGGGAGTTAGGCAGGGCGATACCATGTCGCCAAAATTGTTTATTACTGTGCTTGAGCATGCATTCAAAATGCTGGCTTGGCAACAAAAGGAATAGTTATCGATGGAGAGAGACTCAACCACCTACGCTTTGCGGATGATATCGTTATAGTGTCAGATAGTCTGGGAGAGATCAAAGACATGCTTCAAGAACTTAACGATGCATTACACGAGATTGGGCTAACAATAAATGTTGACAAGACTAAGATACTGACTAATATGGTGCCCAGCGAACACATACAAATTCACAACAACAGAATAGAATTAGTCCACAAATATGTATACTTGGGCCATGAGATCAAAATAAGCAGAGATAACCAAACCTGTGAACTGTCTAGACGAATTACCTTGGGATGGGCGGCTTACGGAAAAATGAGGGACATCTTTAGAGCAAATATCCCAATACACCTGAAAAGAAAGGCATTTAACCAATGTATCCTCCCGGTTTTGACCTATGGCGCAGAGACACTCACTCTAACAAAAGCAACCGCAGAAAAATTGAGAGTGACACAGAGGCGGATGGAGAGATCTATGATTGGCCTGACTTTGAGAGATCGAGTAAGAAATGAAGAGATACGCCGACGTACGGGAGTGGATAACATTATCCAGCGAATCACAAAACAAAAGTGGAGATGGGCTGGACCATTGCTAGAATGGCAGACGGGAGATGGACCAAAAGACTTATAGAGTGGAGACCAAGAGCCGACAAGCGTAGCCAAGGCAGACCTCCCACCCGATGGACCGACTACCTGAAACGAAAACTAACTGGATTGCAACAGCTAAAAACCGCGAGAACTGGAGACGTTTGGAGGAGGCCTACGTTCAACTATGGACGTGAAAGGGGGCTGCGTGATGATGATGATTCATGATACGCCTGACCTCGATTT